GCATCAACCTACTGGAATCAGGGACTATGGAAGGAAGCAGAAGAGCTGGGGATGCAGACACTGGAGCTCCGCAAGCAAGTGCTGGGACCAGAGCATCCAGACACTCTCACCAGCATGAACAACCTTGCCTATACATGGAAACTACTAGGAAAGGTCAAGGATGCCTTAGCTCTGATGAAAAAGTGTATAGAGCTCCGCCGCAACTTCTTGGGTCCAGATCACCCACTTGTCATATCCTCCTCTAACGCTCTTAGTGACTGGGAAATAACAATGAATTCCCTATCAAAGAAGCCAACCCAGCAAACTTCAGCTGCAGCCCCTGCTGCCTTGCCTATCCACAATCACTCTCCCAAGCAGATGAAATCGGACTCCGAACCTGTCACAGGCGGCAAACGATGGGCATTCAGACGGCTTTTCCAGAGACGATGATCTATCTATATTAAGCCTTTTACTGCGACTGAATTAAACACGTGCTTAACATGATCTATGTATCAAGGCTTGACCAGGCCTCCAGCCAGTACAGAGCACTATACTCCTTGGCACCTTGTTTGATTAGGTCAACCCTTCTTTACTCAGCGGAGTTAAGCGATCCTAATTAGAAATAGTTGGCGAAAAGGTGGTGATTTTCAATATGGTGACATGATTGGTCGATTGGGTGGGCAGAGGGACCTCCAGATATCAACAATCACGTATATGTCTGACGCTCGCAAGATTATTGGACAGTTATACAAAGTAAAACTTCTCTTCCGTTCTTCAAATATCTTCCAAAAAGGGAGAGTCTGGAATGGATAATGCTGATATAGTAAAGGCGATTATAACGGTAGAGAATGGTAGAATTTAATTGAATTCTTTACCCTTGGTATTATGGAGGCGTACTGGAACGTCAGGCCGACAGGGCGAATGATTCCACTACTCGTTCTCTGTAATGGTCATGCCAAGGAAGGTTAGATTGCGGGACTCTAGTCTTGGCGGTGTAGCTCCAAGAAAATAGAAGAGTGATTTAGGTGGAAGGTAATGTCACTATACGGATAGAATAGGTTTGGCGTTATTTTAGGGCTAACGGTTTGAACCCTAGGTACTGGCAACAATATATGCTCTTGGCACTAGGGTTAACTCGCATCTTACCCTTGAATGTATAAAGGATAAGAAGCAGACTGAGAGGAACAGTATAAAATTGTTAGTGGATATTTCGTTAATGTGCTTTATTACAGACTCGAATTCGGCACTGGCAGCTTGTGGCCCCAAGCTAGCCAGTCCTTTGGGGTGGAGCAATTGAAGGTCTCATTATCTAATGCTGAACAAAGGTAACTAACTAGTTCCACGTGCACGTTCTACGATCCATGTGTCCTAACCCGGTATAGCGGCATGAGCTTAGCGTGGTTTAACAACAGATGGATCAACTTACGATTGAGTTTGCTCCTGATATCCCGGTGGATTGCATGACAGAGGGATCAGAATTATAACCTCCAAGAGAGTCAAGAATACGTGTAAGTTGTTGCAATTGGACATCACTAGTGACTTCAGTGAGAATATATCATCGAGAGATGTAAGACGTGCACAGATCGATCCGGCAAGAACAGTAGATTCCAAGCCCCATTCCAGTTGCCACTCTATTTAAGCAGCTAGTAATCGCCGCTAAGTCCTGTCTGTGCCAATCAGGTAGGGCTGGAACCCACTGCCTAGTTGGTTTGCGTACCATTTTCCTTGTTATCAGCTCTGGCGTGCGTAGCCCGGAACCTTACCCCTGACGCGCGCCAGGGAGTTGTGAGGATAAGAAAAGTTATTTCCAGTAAGCAGAAATGGCTACATTCTCTCCCTGATGAGAGCAGTCTGAGGCAGCGTTCTCTACGTAGAATCGCAGTATATTTACCACTTGTCAATGTTTTCATCTTAGTTCCTTCGCTGTTAAGCTCGGCTGGAGCCTACACATCGGGTTTCACGGAACATGAATTCTCTTTTGGCTCTGCGGGGCCTGAGGCCGGCTTGGATCGGTATCACCGCGATTGCAACAGTCGCGGTATTCTCTTTATTTCTATTATACTCGCCACAGCTAAAACCTACGACCTCAAAGGTGCCAACACCCGATCCTGTAAATCATATTGTGACCGATTCGACATATGTGGATGTTAATCCCATTACAGCCAATGACCGCATAACAATTACTGAGGTGAGCTTGGTGAACGATCTTGCGCAATACTTTATCGACTACCCACTTCAACCACCATACAAAGAGCACTTCGGCCAGCTCGGCCAACGCAGCCGAGTCCTGCGCAACTGGCTAGCACTAGCTGACCAGTCTGAAAATCCCATTATAAAGAGCTTGCTATTAAACGCTACTGAACGAGTTGCCGTGTCCCTATATCCTTTCCTCGAGAAGCCTGAGGGGAAAGCAACCTCACAAGGGCCTGTATCGGATCTTCGGGCATCCTTCGAACCAGGCTCAGCCGGAATCGTGATACCAACTAGCAACAAGACTCTTCGCTTCGCGATTCACCTCATCGGTGCTTTGCGTTCGGTTCTGAACTCAACACTACCCATCCAGGTGGTTTATGCTGGGGATGAGGATCTGAGTCCGGATAACAGGTCGCGGTTATCACAGATTGTAGAGTTAGGCCCGCTGGAATTCCTTGACATCCTTACTATCTTCGATGATACAACCCTTCAGTTGCGGTCCGGTGGCTGGGCCATAAAGGCCTTTGCGGCTTTAGCCTCGCGGTTCGAGCGTGTGATCCTAGCCGACGCTGACGCCGTTTTCTTCCAACCCCCGGAGGTACTACTTGATCACGAAGCATTTATCCGCACCGGCGCATTGCTGTTCCATGACCGGCTTCTCTGGCCTGGTGCATTCAAGGAGCGTCACGAGTGGTGGGAGAGTCAGATCCGGCATCCAAGCCCCGAGCTGAACAAGTCACTGGTATGGACGGAATGGTACGCCGAAGAGGGGGACTCTGGTCTTGTTGTTCTTGACAAGAGCCGCTTGGATATATTCATCGGACTGTTTCACATTTGTTGGCAGAATTCATACGCGGTTCGGGAAGAGACTACATACAAGATCACCTATGGTGATAAGGAGACGTGGTGGTTTGGTCTTGAGCTTGTAGGAGCTAGCTACGAGTTCTCGGGCCACTACGGTGGAATTGTCGGCTGGGAGGATGTGGACGAGAAGGGAAAGCCTAAGGTGTGTAGCTTTGTTATCGCTCACGTTGATGCAAAGGATCGGCTCTTGTGGTACAACGGGAGTCTGCTCAAGAACAAGGGGAAGAGCGAGATGGCGAACGAATATGAAGTTCCGACGAACTGGATGATCGATGCCGAATGGCAAAAGGGCGCTGCTAAACAGGACATGAGCTGTATGGTGGGAGGTGAAGTGAAGAATTTAACGCAATATGAGCTGGACGTCCTGCAACAATCGATTGAACTAGCGAAAAAACTCGATTCCACGACTCATCCTTCGTGAAATGGAACTGAAACGATGCCCTTTATTTCTGCGCTTTGACACCATGATTCACTGGCACATATCGTCTTGGCGTATTCATGTGAGGCGGTTAGACGCGCAATTGCCGGCAAGGTCAGGATTTTGCTATTGAAATATATTCGTCCACAGCTGCAGACATATACTCGACCAGTCCTTGTTGACCTTTCCATCCGCATCATCCGGTCCTTATACGATCGTTCTCATCCTTAACCGCTCACTAGGAGGGACAGGAATAGGTCCTCGCTCGAGTGCATCGTATCCACTACGTGCGTGTATGTACATATACCACCATTCTAAAGAGTCCCGTCAATAGACAAAAGTCACGGATTAGTCTAAGCCTTTCCACTTTTCGGTACTTTTTTATACTTTTTATATCTGATTCATAGAATTTATTTACTGCCCCCTTCTCCTATCCCGTCTTTGAATCAGGGTCTTCCTCTCTGTTAGCTTTGTTGGACAGACGGATTATATATTTTCGCTTTCTTTTTCTTTTCTTCCCTTTTTTCCTTTTTATTTTCATTTTTTGACACAGTGCACTGCGGAGTTGAAACATCCCATTTACGTTTTTTGACTAGAAGGACATTTCGCAGGGTATATCCTTTATGTACAAACAATTACGATTCACATGAATCTCAAGTCAGGGCCCTGAATTTGTGTGCTACCAATTCATGCATCGGCAAAAGGGGTCCTGTTCCTATATTTAGAGACCAGTGTCGACTGCTACTGTAGCAACCGTTCGATCGGGGCCTAGCTGCTTGACAAGAGCAATAGCTGCAGCAACATTAAGACCTGGTGATGTTTTAACCAGTAACCCTTCTTCTTTAGCAAGGCGTGGACACATAGCGCGTGCCTCCTCCGTGACAGCACGAGCTTCATCATACAGATTGCGATCAAGGTGAGGCGGCATAAAGCCACTACCGATGCCCTCAACATGGTGCATTTCAGTGTGGCCTTTGGCAATAACCGACGAGGGTGCTGGTTCTAGCACAGCAACATGGGTCTGTGGCTACCTTTCTTTTAACTCTCGCGATACTCCCATGACCATACCGGTACCGCCAACGGCGCCACAGAATGCATCAATGCCATCCGGAAATTGCCTCACCAGCTCATGACCACTTAATTCATAAACGACAAGTCTATCTTTGTTGTTGAATCGGTCGGCAAAATAGTGGTTGTCCGCTGTGGATACTTCTTTGGCGCAAGGCACCATGGAGGGTGTCGAGTCCGGTATAATCTGACCAGAAGGACAGTGAATTAGGTCGAAAGACGAGCCCCAAGTCTGCATGATCGGCAGATCCTCGAGGGAAAATGCGTTGGAAGATTCCACTTGGAATTGGTAGCCTTTTGCGGCACAGATAAAGGCAAGCGAGGAGACGGTGCTTCCACCGGTTGCTTTGAGAACGGTCATACCAGGCTTTAATGCACCCCGTGCCTCGGCTTCTTTGACAATGGACTTTGCCATACGATCTTTATAAGAGTCTGTTGGGTTGACAGATCCCATTTACGGGAAGACTTGGGCGCAACCTTCGGGGACGACATGCCGAAGACATACTACTGGGGTGTTCCTGACTAGCCCGAAGGGGCTATCCACGGGTGCAGGAGGATTCATGGTATATTGAAACTGTATAGAGTAATTATAGAGAGCTGCCGGAATTGTACTGAGGGGTTTCTGTTCAATTGAAGAAATTTACAGTGACTTAATAGGTGATTTTGAGAGAGTTAGTAATGATCTACATGTGGTCAATCAGTGCCGGACCCACCTCGGATGCCGCGTCTCTTGCTACCCTACCTGTACTCGAATGATGTTGTGCGATATCGAGGAACATTATCAATAGGAATGGTTTAAGTATAGTGAATTGTTCCAAGACGTTGTAATAGATGATCTACTGCTTTGAAAATCGTCAAGTTATTGGGGCGCGCTCCGCAAGTACTAAGGAGTCTTCCCACAGTCTCTTTGCAGAAGCCTCGGATAATATATATCGGCGTTGTAGAATTCTATAATGAATATTTAGTGTTAAGTTCAATTTTTCTATCATAAATCGTGCTCTTGGTCCAAGAAGGTTATCTGGACGACCTTCTTACTATCCTCACTAGTCCGTGATATGTTGCTGAGATCACCTAACTAATTCAGATTGTTTTGCGCCCTCCAGCTTTCAATGCGAACGCTTCTAGGTTCTTATAGATCATCCGTCTTTTGAACGAGGCCCCGATAATTTGTGATTAATAGTGGATGAGGTCTAGGCATGTGTGCTTGTTCAACTGTAAAGGTACATATGTCGCGCCTGGAATAATTCTAGACTGGTATCTTTGTATACCCTGAATTGTGGAATATACTATGGTGACAATCTCAATCTCAGCACTCCTGAGGGTGGAAGAATGTTCTTGTCTAAGTTAGGAAAATTTCCAATGGCATGGCTTAGTGTTTGGATTAAATGGACAGACACGTTATAGTATAGGAGACTGGAGTACTAGCCCTGTCAAACAACAGCTAATCACACGCCTTTCCTGCTAATAAAATTGAAGTATTCTCCACCTCAGGAGAGCTGGAAATGTGTACGTAAGTAAGTCTCTCAGCTCAATTGGTTGTTTCAGGTTAAAACAAGCTTGTTTCCATGCCGAAGCTTAGCCCTAACGGGGAAGAATCACGAAAATGGTTCTATGGGTAAAACGCACTCCACCATGATCCTAACCCAATACGCCGACTAACACGCGGCAATTCAGTTATTTATATAGGCCATTGGGCCTTTAAAATTATTAATGTCATACAGCTTCTAGCTCTTTACCAAGGGGTTAATCCCAACACAACGTTCCTTTTTTTTTTCCCTAACCTTTACTGTCATTCATTTCTGTAAGCGACTAGGTCGCCCTATCTTAGTCGATCTTTTCATACAAGCCCATATCCTTCAAAATGCGTTTTGCTTACGCCGCTGTTCCTTTGGCCCTCGCGATGCGCGCCGCCGCCACCACGAAGGACTCCTGGGCATTCGGCAACGGATTCTACTCTGGTCCTGCCACTAACGCCCACATTACCAGGGCTACCTGGTCCCTGGTCCCCCCGGCAGTCCCCCAGGGTGTAAAGGTCCAGGACTCTAACGACCAGGTCTGGGTCTCTCTTTGGATCGGTCTTCAGCACACAAATGGTGATGACAACTCCTACCTTTACCAGCCTCTTCTGAACTGGTCTCCTGACCAGGAATCTCAGTACGGATTCCCCGAGTTGCCTAGGACTATGTATGACGGGAACTGATGCAAGGATAGGGGTTGCTCTGCTAGTGCTAAGGAATGGTGTGTTGCTGCCAGCACTTATACTCCCAGTTAGTATCTCCTTGCTGTGTTGTTCGATCGCAATGCTGACATAGTATGGCAGAGGGTCAGAACGGCCAGGCCTATGTTACTGTCCCCAAGAATGCCAAGGTGGACTTTGAGGGTGAGCTTTGAATATTTTTTACTGCCTCGTACGCAGACATTAACTCAGTGCAGTTGTGGTCACGGACAAGAAGGTCACCCAGACCGTCACCATAGGCGGCAAGGTCGTCTCCAAGGAAACTGACGGTAAGCCCGCGCTCCGAACTCTTGGAATCTTCCCAATCCCTAGCATCTAACCATGGCCAAACAGACCTGGACGCGGAGCTGCTCTACCTCTACTCCGGAGACGAATGCTACACCGGCTCCGGCAACTGCGGCACCCTCGAGGCTTACAGTAAGTCATAAATATAATATATGAAAAGAAATTTGAGTGAAGAGCACATTAGACTAATATTCCTAGGCTGGGAAAATATCACCATCCACCTCAACACCCCGGACGAGTTATTCGGCGAGACCCTCTTTCTCTACAAGGGCTCTAACTCCGACGGTTTCACTAGCTCCGACAACGGCAAGACCTGGTACGCAGATTCCATCAACATTGAGCAGGACACCTGGACTGGTGCCTAAGCTGTGTTACGATTAGCGGGTGATCAAGCAAATAAGCTCTGGACAGCTTCTTTGATGCAGTCATTCCAAATATTGGATATAATTGTACTCTAATCGAGCCTAGTTTCCCGTCAGAATTAATCATACAGTGTTCTGAGCACTAAGGGCAACGGTGCACTGGATCTTGTTCATGATAGGATATCTACTGGATACACCTTTTGGAGGATTCTGCCTTCTCTGTCTCTCTTTTAGATCACCCGACTGATGAGCGTTGTAAATGTCGACATGTGAATTGGACAGAGAAAAGCCGCATTGGCTTAGTCAACCCGACAAGAGATAACTTATATTCGTATCAAAGCTCGAAGAGATTTCGGGGTTTTATATTCTATACTCATTTGTGCCACTACTTGGGTTATAATGTGTGAAATACTCGGGTAAGCCACAGCATATATATCTAGAAATGTGGTTTTTTTAATGTTTCTAGAGACACTGGAGTTCTGGATCTAACTAGGAAAGGATATGTAGAGTATAACATCGATCGTTAAATACTCACGGTATTCCATATGTAAAAGCAAATTATTCAAGTCTAAACTATGTGAGTGATCAAGACAAGGATAAGTTGGAAAGGTCGATAACAGACAAGTGACGTTATATAGTTGTTCTAGATTATTTCGAGTTTCAGATGAGCATCCAAACAGAATCTTCAACTCGTCCTAGTCAATTCCACACTCCAGGAATACACGTACATTCGACAATAACGGTGGCTAGGTTGTGTCATACACAGACAGTCTTTCACTCTTTAGCTAATGTTCTCGAACAAAATTGTCAAATTGAGAACGGCTACTCCCGACCCTGCCGGTCGATGGAAAGGTTGCAACAATATGGAACGTCTCAAAATTGAACCTTGTCGCCGATTCGAGTTGAAGAGATTAGGCCTCGAAAGCTTTTAAAGACATATAAGTATCATATTCATCTCAGTAATAAGGGGGCTGTAGATTCCTTTCCCTCTATTTCAAACCTAACCACCACTCACCAGTCTCAACATGTACATTTACAGCTTCCTCCAACTAACCCTAACAAGGCTCGCCTCAGAGGCACACTCAAGTCGCGCACATCCTTTGTCAATTGTAATAACTCCGAACGCTAAATGGCGCAGGCAGCGGTTACTAGTGCAGGTTAAATGGTTGTCCAAGCGGCGGCCAGAATCAGCGCCAACAATGCTACGTCACTCTTCTCCTCCAGACCTTCAAAATCACCGACTCAACCTCAACAAACCGTGTCGCTGAAATCCTCAAGGAAATTGCCCAAAAGGCGTCCCAGCAGGGTGGCGGTCTTGCCACCTATTCTTGTCAACCCGATAGCATCCTCTGTCAATCAGCTTCATTCAGCCAGACAGGGTACGCCAGCACAAACGGGTACTGGAGCCAAGTGAGCCCCTGTCCTGCGTATTTCCAACTCCCGGAGCTGTCGGATGACTATTCTGTGCTGAATCAGCGGACGTCTAGTTTGCATGAGTTGTGTCATACTGAGGGTGTTCCGGGGTATGAAGTGTATGGGTATTCGAATGTGTTGAATTTGGGTTCATTGACATTGTGAAGAATCGGAGAGTTATGTCTTCCTTTCGAAGTGTAAGTTTTCCTTTCTACGGCACCTTTTAAGTTTCCATAGTTTCTGGAATATCTTTATTGGCAAAGGTTGACCGGTTATAGCGGTTTGTCTTGGCTGTGACAGTCAAGCCCGGTCATTGGAGGCTTAGACAGGAAGCTCAGGGAAGTCGTGGTGGAAAATGTCATCAAGATTTTGGTTCTTGTGGCTTATATTATTGGTTTATACTATGCTATTCTGAAATCGATAGAGCGATGATTTTGAAGACGGAATTGGTTTACTAGCCTGCTCCTAATGTACTGCGTCCTCTCTCGAAAACACACTAGATCTCAGGCGCAGAGCACATCACGAGCCAATGCTGAACATCTCAGTTTTGCCCAGTCCTTGTGGCAGAGTCACCGCGCGTTATCTACCGGTACCTTGAATTTGTTGCATTGGCTTTGCTCCCGTTGGTTCAACAGCTAATCAAAATTGACTATGTTCTACATACTAACTGAAGACCCCCTGGTACATATACTGATATCGAGGCTAGCTAAGAGAAACAGCGTGGTCATTCATTTAACAAGATTGGGACATTTTGTCATTAATACGCAGGCACATTCCCGCGCGAGCTTGCAGACATGGTAGGCTGGAGTAATCCAGTGATTGACAGATATTGTTACTGTTTAGCCGAAGTCTGATGGTCCAGGCTAAATCTCTGCTGAAGTAGTGTATTTTATTATATTCTCAATTGTCAAGGACAAGCCAATCTACGCAAATTGCAAGGCAACGGGGATTCAATTAATTATCCCAACGTTGATGAGCTGGTTTGGGCAGCTCTAAATGCGGACTGTAGCATCCATAAACCAGGATACAGCATGGACATTTACCGGTACTATGCTCAAAGACTTCATCCTTCTCCCTTCGTACCGTCCGTCCTTCTTGGGCCAGAGATAGCCATACAGCGGTTTCTCACAACAACCACAGCGGCGCCCACAGCAACCCCCATTCTTCGCACACATCTCCTGATCTGCAATACACGTATATGGATACCAGCAGCTGTCCCGGTGCTTGCGTAAGCCAATAATGTGCGACGCATACTCTTCTGTCGTCGACCTTCCCGGCTATTATATCTCTATTGTTCTAGAGCGGGCAATCTTTCCGAGCTTGCCTGAATGATTGGAAATCTATGCGAGATGGGTCTCCGCAGATATCCCCACATTCCCCACCATTCCGAAGACACTTTTTTCAATGTGGATGGTAAATTCCCCGACCAACCGGTGCAAAGCTAATGACTCCCAGCCCGGGGTGTTGCCTTAGTTTCTGACGTGTGCATCCGATCAGGATCAATGTGGACTCTTCCCATTCACCTATTCATCTTCTTCAATAATATTTGAGCTTTTACCCGGCCGTGTGTCTTCCGCATGAGACCTCCAGGCTGAAGCGCCGTGATTCATGTGAAACATGCATTTCAGAGACAGAACATGCCCAAAAATAGACAGACAAAGCGGGGAAATGGGTCAAGGCGAGAACAAAGTGTCCCGAATCTCCTATTGGATAACGGAGATACCGAATGAAGCCGACCAGGAAATCTCAGCCGAGCTTACATTCCCTATACGACTGGCCTTATATAGCAGCCACCCCTCAAAATCATCCATGTTTATTCCGTGTTTCTCTTGCCTATTGACCTCTACTCAAACTTGTCATGGCTGCATCCACTCGTCTACAAGACAAAGTTGCCATCGTCACCGGCGCTTCGTCGGGGCTGGGCCGCGCCATTGCCATTCGCTACGCGCGAGAGGGAGCAAAAGTGGTCTGTGCCGACCTGTCACCAGGTGCGCGTTCCCAGGTCCCAGAGGAATCCGGGGAAACCACCCACGACTTAATCAAAAAGGCGGGAGGGCAGGCCATATTTGTCCAGGCCGACGTTGGAGACGCGGGGCAGATGGAGGGTTTAGTCCGGGCGACCGTGAAAGAATACGGGAGATTGGATATGTAAGACACAAAATCAGGGATACCGCATAATCCATCCGGCTGATCTCTCATAGTTTGGTGAATAATGCCGGGATTAGCATCGAGGCACGGTCACCGGCTGTGCTGCATCTCACCGACGAAGCGACGTGGGATACGACGATGCGGGTAAACACGAAATCGGTCTTTCTCGGCTGCAAATATGCTATCACCCAAATGCTTGAGCAAGAACCTCACCCATCAGGAGACCGGGGATGGATCGTCAACATTTCCTCCATCATGGGGATGATCGCAGGGCCAATGAATCGTTCGTTATACGTCTTGTACGCACAGAGCGACACTAATTTCTCAATTAGCCTCGTACTGTGCTTCCAAGGGAGCTGTGAGCCAGCTTACTAGGCAGATAGCACTGGATTATGCGCCACACAGGATCCATGCCAATGCTATATGCCCCGGTTGCAAGTCTCCCTGTTCTGCCCTTTCCGGCACATGCTCATGTTTTCATAGACGTACAAACAGCTATTTTCAAAGAGACCACTGCGAATCTCTCCGCATGGGATGACCTCAAACGCCGGCATCCTTTCAATGGACCGGGTCTGCCGGACGATATTGCAAAGATTGCCGTTGTGCTGGCTAGTGATGACGCGAGCTGGATGACCGGGTCTTGTGTACCGGTCGATGGTGGATATACAGCGCGTTAATTTACTAAGCACTAGATTTGAATGTTAGAGGCCAAGGGGATCAAGCCTTGGATGAGGAGGTCTTAGGCCCAGAAGGGAACTAGGCAGTACCCCGAGGGTCACTCTAAGTTGGGTGTCCCAGCTTCACATACTACGTACAAAAGTAATGTAGAAGGAATTCAGCGCAACCATCACGGAAACGCTTTGAAATATGTTTCTCGTCAAATGCGACGGCTTGACGTTCGGTCGGTGCGGAACTTACGCTCAGTACATAGGGAGTTTGGGAATTTAGCAAGAACCGGTGTATTCTTGAGTCACCTTGCTAATCTAATGTGGTATATATTCTCCACGCCTTGTACAGAGTATTTATGTTTTGTTTCTACTTATATTTCGTTAATTGCTTATTTTCCCCGACCAAAACCCAGAATGCTTTTCTATAAGGCAGATTTGGGGAGAAAAATGGGGGTATAAGCCGAGGAAGTCTCAGAAAATTTGCTTCCACCATTTCGTATCTTAATCTCGCCAACATTCCCGCTTCTTCCACCAAAGCCTTCTGAGTTGGTCTACGCCTCTCAACCTAGATTAGCTTGGCCAATTGCAGCGCTATTCTCGCATTCGGCATGCGCTCTGATTTTGGCTGGTAACGTGGAAACATTCCCTGGCGTGTACTATTGATTCATTGAATCCTTCTTGACTCCTCGTATAGTAGAACACGTAAACAGCGCAAGGTTAAATGTGATGAGGAAAGACCTGTTTACAGTCCATGTGCTAGGTCTTCTCGAAAATGTGTCTTTTCGTCCAGTGCCGTCTTTCGGCACTACGGAATAGACGACACTCATGACACTGGCAGGGACCTGGAACGACAGCCACGCTCGGCCTCGTATGGCTGGGGAATTTTTGCTAAGAACCAGGCTTGGATAGAAGTACCATCCCACCATAAGTGCATTCAATCGTTTGAAGGATAATAGCTGTGACAGAATATGTGGAAGCACTGACCGTGCTATAGTGACCTTTGTCCACGTATTGGACCCTTTCGAAGAAGATGAAGGTGTCCCATTTGACGGGCTAACACCTCCTACTGCCCCTGTAAGTAGGATTACGCATGATAGACGTGGAGGAGTAGCACCTCCCTCGTTCCCAGGTGTTCTAGTTCCTTGTGGAACCTCCACACCCGATGATGGCAATGTGCTGGTCGCGCAGTTACTGCAACATTTCAAGGAATCTCCTAGTCAGTGGTAATATTCTCTTCCACTCAATAAAATTAAACATCTTCTAATTTAATGATAGGATGGACTCTTTTGCTTCAACCGCATACTTTTCAACAAAGGTCCTCCTACTGGCTGCTACCAGGTCACTTTTAATGGTGTCAGTGAGTTCATTGGCCGCGAAGCATCTACATTGTCTATGCCATTAATCCATATCCCTGCCAACTTCCAAGCTGCCGTATCTGACCAAGAGCCGTCTGCAATGGACTCAAGGTAATATCGATTGGAAGCACCAATCAATGTGATTCTATGACCAGGCTATTCATTACTTGAAGGAGGCCACCTTATCACAGCCCAGCGATATCGAGTCGATAACATCCTCCAGCCGCCGGGAGGAGATGTTTGCGGCTGTCGTGATTCTCTGTACTTGTGAGCTCCTCGATGCTCCTATCTCCGGATAGATTAGATGGTATCGTATAGTATTCTTGGTTGGATAGTCAGGCAAAATGGTACTGTGGTAGTGACAGTGACACACAATGCTGTGTTGTATTGACGCTTAGAGACACGAAATATTAAGGCACCCTTCAAGGAAGAATGATCGGTTGTAAATTGTAATACCGTGTTGTTTATCTATGGTTCTGAATATATTTCCCTCGCTGTTCATAGCTTCCATCATAGATACGCTAGATGACCCTTTTTATAAATAAAATAAGAGAGTAAGCGAGGTCAGTAAGTAACTAAGTAAAATAATATAGATGCGATGCAGCTTCGGTGACAGGAGTATGTATGAAGCATGTACTAAAAAGAGTTAAACCCTATCTAATTAAAAAAAGGTATGTGATAACCCTTAGTACAAGATTAACTAGAGTAGAGTCTACCACAAGCTATTTCTAGCTGCGTCGTAAAGGGGGCATATAGAGATTTTTAAGCACAATTCCTGCATAAACTTGCATGTTGATCATTTACCCTTCCGAGCCCGTCCAGGATTCCCGTAAATGTAACACTGAGAGGCAACCGCAAATGTCGGAGCTTATTCTTGTCCCGTAACTGTCTTAGGCTTAATATATAATCCTTCACTCATTCGTTTGCCATCGTCCGGTCTTCCTGATGAGCATGTCTTCGAAATAGGAATCAAATATGCTGTACTGCCTGCTTCCCATAGTCCTCCTGGCCCTGGCCCATCCAATCTATTGTGAGCTGTTTTCCTCCTCACGATGGATCCTCGACGCCAACAACCAGCGGGTTAAGCTGCGATGCGTAAACTGGGCCGGGCATATGGAAGTCAACATCCCCGAAGGCCTACACCATCAATCCATTGACACCATCACAAGCTGGATCGCAAGCAATGGATTCAACTGTGTGCGCTTAACGTACTCCATCGACATGACTCTCGATCCCACTGTTAAAGTCTCGGATTCCTTCTCCGCAGCGGCTGACCCCGCTGGTGTATCCTCATCTGACATGGAGTCCCTTTACACGCAAGCCCTTACACATAACCCCCACTTAGAGAACGCCACCAGACTAGACGTCTTCGCTACCGTTATCGACTCACTCCACAGCAAAGGCCTCTACACCATCCTCGACAACCACGTCTCCCGAGCAAGCTGGTGTTGCGACCTCAAAGACGGAAACGGATGGTGGGATGCCGCCCAGGGATACAACGACCTGAATAGCCGATACTTCAACACCGGGAAGTGGCTTCAAGGTCTACAGACCATGGCAAGATTCGCTAAATCCCACCCGGGAGTTATCGGAATGTCGCTCCGGAACGAACTCCGCGCTCTTCCTCTTATTCAAGATCTTAACAACCACAACGACTGGTATAAGCTGATCGCGCAAGCCGCCAATCAAGTCCATACCGAAAATCCCAGTCTCTTGGTTATTATTGGAGGCATAAACGGTGGCACCGATTTATCTTTCGTCCGGACACGACCATTTGATACTTCTGCATGGGCGAACAAACATGTCTGGGAATTCCACGCTTACTCATTCACGGTCACCAACCCGAATCCAACCGGATCATGCTCGGTAGCGTCCGCTGAGTATGGTCTGTTCGAAGGATTCCTTTTGACGCAGGGGAAGGAATATACGGGGCCACTTTTTCTGTCGGAGTTTGGGGTCGGGATGACGGGAGGGCCGGAGGGGAACCACGGTATCCCGGATAAAGATTACAAGTACCTGAAGTGCCTAGTAAAATACATGGAGAGCAATGATGCAGATTGGGCGGTGTGGGCGCTGCAGGGGAGTTATTATGTGCGGGATAAGACGGTAGATATGGATGAGAGCTATGGGTTGTTGACTCGGGATTGGAGTGGATGGCGAAATCCCAACTTTAAAGGGCTTTTGGGCAAGATGATGGATGTGACGCAGGGGCCATAGTATAAAATTACGAGTGAGAGGGGCTATATGGTGACAGCATAGTGATATTATCCGACGAAAAAGTCCGTCGAGCTGGCCATAGGCGAAGTCCTGGTGGTATTGCTGGCGGCATATAGCTGCTTCCTTCTCTTAGTGCAGCCTATTCGTGATTCATGTTAATCGACTCTTAGATAAGGATATCTCTTTCCTGCGGAAATAATTAGATGTAGTAACATAAGTTTGTGATATGGCCCGCCTTGTTATCTAGGGCAAGTCAGACTTTGGATGTTCGATCGGCTCGCAAAGATTGCACAGAATACGCTCCTGTTTCTGGAAATCAAGTTCTCGGTAATGGCATGCTGTTACTGCTGGAATAAAGAGTAATTCTCATGATAGGGCAGAAGGTAGAAGTCAATCCGTTTTTGTATGATTGAATCTTGTGCAGTAGCTACTACGTAAAGTCGGGAAGGAGGCTTTTCCCATGCCGATCCTGCCCTACGCCCTAAATATAGCACCGTTAGCACTTGTCATAGTGTGTGTATGCGTGTGTTTGGGGGCATACATGGCCCGGCTTAGCCGTCTGCAAGTTTTGGGAGCGGTCATTACTTTCCATATGCTCTACGTCTGTTCCATTTTCGATATTTACTTTGTAGGCCCCAACGTCGGGGACATGAAGGCCCACCCCAGACTTCCAGACCACCCTCCGGCTCAACGCGTTGTGCTCTCTGTCGGTCGGCAGCTACCCCTTCCGTTTTTCAGCTATTTTGCAAAGAAGCGGCTGTTCTAATCTTTGTGATGGGCGCCCACTAGCTGATGGTCTTCGCGCAGATAAGTCTTTCCAACAATCCCCTTACCCGTCCCCAGATGCGCCCGCCATTGAGCCGACCCAAATACCCCATCACTTTACTCTGCGCTCACGAGTGTTGGAATATGCTGGCGTTCCAATTGGTCACGGGAATAGACACGAAGAAAAGTCACCTCCAGATCGTTCGGCCCTCTCTCTGCGCTCACAAAGACTATAACCTCAACTATTATCAGACTAGACATCCTACATTGCAGCCCTGTTCCTGACCTCTTCCTTCTAGATGTCGGTCCTAAATGACCCTAAACGCTGCTAAATCCAACACGGAATCAGGGTAGTGAAGCAATCCAAGACTATTTATAGCAATTAAGGGAGGAGCGAAATGCAAGGCAGATTTTCGGCAAATCCAGAAGACTTGTATGCACATGAGCTCAAGAAGCAGAATGCACAATCAGAATGCAAGAATATAAGGCTCTTTATAATTGCACGAGGGCTGTATTGATTGTCGCGTTTTATTTATCAGATTGTTGGCTTGTAGCGTATACGGTGAAAGTTCGAGCGAGAACTTCATAGTGCTAAAATCCTAAGTCAACTTTCATGAGCAGACAGTCTAGGGATACATAGTTATCCCATTACATATTCGATTCAGCATACACCTTCTAATAATGCAATTAACCGACCCCCCGACCCCGCGATATATCATATACATAGTTCTTATGACAGGGGACCTTTTACACCAAAAACTGCTTGATATCATTTTTTATCGTCAGCTGAACACATTTAAACTCAAACACCTAAAACATAAAAAGGTGTAGAGACAAGTTGGTTTATTACAACCTCTTGGAGCATTTGCATTTGACATAGCCTAATGACCCTTGTGTTCCCCATCTCTTGTCGCATTTTCATTGTGAGACCTCGGGTGCTAGAGCAAGAAGGATGGGACCGAGATGAGCCATGGCTTCTTTTGATTGTGTATCCCAAGGGCCAACACTAAGAACGAAGAGAATCCCAACGCAATAATGTATTTCCCGAGTGAGCGGCTCCCCTATTATAGTATATACATATATCAGTTGAAGAAATGGTTATAATTACTATAAAAGTACGTAACGAAAATTACATCTGTATTTTTAAAGTTCAGTACTTAAAAGGCTAAAAAGATATAAAAAATTTTTAAATGTAATAGACACTCTATTGTAGCCTATATTTACATACGTACTAAAATACTATATTTCTGCAATCTCTGATTGTTGAGATATTAGGATTCTAAAACGGGCCATTTTATATGGAATAGTCTGCTATTCTCTTTAGTAGTAAATCAGGTCAATACAGTCTCAGGATTCCAAGGCTATAGACTAACAGATTTCGATGCGTTCTTAATATTTTCAACTGATAAGGCTTTATTCTAACTCGGCCAGAATAGTCTAAAAAGTCTCACTTGGTAATATGACTTAGGCCCTGGCTGGTATATAAAAAGCTCTCCATTTAACGTTGTGACGGTTAGCAGGCGGCCAAAAACAGCCAGAGTCGACGCCGTTTTACGAGTCTTTCTAACCAGCGACGGTCTTGGCACCAGCTCTGCTTAATCCCACAGCACACCATCTTTAACTCCACACACGCATGCGCCTCCAGTTGCTCACCCTGTTCCTGGTTCCTGGCGCCGACTCGGGACACTCTCATGATGGAGCCGCCGCAGGTCTACCACCTTGCTCAACCGCAGCGCAACTAACTCATCTTCCTGAAGGGAGCCGAAAGTGGCTCCACTCGCGGCTAACTTGTTCGCTACTGTTCCATAAATTCCAGGTTCCATTATGCCGACTGTGTAGGCCGTCTTCCGGTGGCTCTAGGTGCTCAAGGACGCAACCTGTGAGATCCGAACCTGTGCGCTCAGAAGTTGCGCAACCCGGGCTCATAACCTGTTGATTTCATCACTAGACTAAAATACGACTCCGCACCCAGTCTAGTGGGTTGTGGTGTATAGTCCAACTCCTTGGGATACCACAACTATGACTAACCCTATATAACTGCTGCAGCTGTTCCACTGCTTAGAACGAATGTTGCGCCTCGTCAAGACCTCTGTTATCAAATTTGCCTTCGATCCTCTGCTTGCGCTCGTACCGGTACACGACTACGAAACCTCCCTGATGCCTCTACAAAATCAAGCAGCGCGATTAAGCGATTCCCTTCCCCTCCTAGCATGGCTGATATGTTGTTGAAGTTACGCCCAATCTTGCCCCGTAATCCGCCTTAACTCCCTCAGGTTAGGACAGTTCACCGGAACATGAACCACAGTCTCTGTCCCACCACAAATACAGTTGTCATCATCCCGAAACCGATGGAACTTTGCGTGGCCAGCCACAAGTGGCCTGATCGCAACTGTGTTAGTAGGTAGGCTCGGTTCCGTGGTAAAGGATCATAGAGTCGTCTGGTGTGTGGAGATGGCAGTTTTGAGTCAATCTGGTGGAGATGTCTGCCCTTGGGTGAACCTTTCCATTCATTCTCCCATTCTGCAAGGATTTTATCTCGATTGAATCTTTTGTCTCCGTTGAGCGAGTGTTGAAATGAGTGTGATGTATTTGGCCCCACAGCCTCTTTTGGTAGTCGGTCAGCTGCATCATTGCTAGTATTGCTGCAATGCCTAGGGATCCACTGCAAGTTAACGGAAATGCCGTGTGTTTTTAGCTCAGTGGCTGACTTGAGAATTGCATATACTACCTGTTGCCACGCCGCATGTCGCTGGCTTAAGGTGCGAACTCCAGAGATGTTTCCCGCAGCAGACCCTTTGGCCGGGGGTTCTGCCATTAGGAAAGGGAAAAATCACCATCTGAGCAGAGAAAAGTTGGACGGAGGAAGGTATTGGAATCAGCCAGACTTGTTAAGGCTTTGCCACAGGCCACTGGGATCCACCCTACCCCTAGTGACTCAGCTTTTGAATTACATAGGGTTCTGAACTTTTGTAATGTTTGACGTGATCTAAATGTAATAGAGAGCTACTTGCAGAGAGAGAAAGGAAAAAGTCGCCCCTCTAGCTCTTCTGTTTACTGGGAGGAGTGCGGAAGACCCGGAAAGCCGATAGCACGGCAGAAACCCTAAGCACCAGGTGCTCGCACATCATGTAATGCACATAATGGCGGTAACAACCTATAAAAATGATATCTTAATAATTGGGCCTTGTTTCCTTGGTCTATTATTGGGATTCTGGTTAATATAAAGCAAGGACCTGTGAATTCCTGCATCCGGTTAGTTTACCGCTGCGAGCATGATGCTCCTGTACCTGTAAATCACTGCCTCACCGCCCGCCGCGGGACACAAAATTATAAGAACCGACCTCTCGCTGTTCTAACACTCCACAGTTCCACTCTCACGTGCTGGAGCGGCAATATGCTACCGCCAGTCTTACCGCCCTCGCATCTAGACAGCTAGGAGTTTCTCATCTTTAAAGCTTCATCATCATAGATAGCATCGTTCTTAGACATCTTCTCATCACACAATCAAGTGGTATGGAGCATGCAGTTCCCGGTTTCAAAAGAATATCATCTCCGATTTCCGTCGAGATATCCTGATCGACGCATCTAGATCGACGATCGCAGTGTCCAGATCAACGGTTGTGACGCCAGAAACAGAACGAAACTGACGCTTCCCTACCCCTCATCTCTGACCAGGTTAGTCTTCTTGATTCTCCTTACTGCCCCACCAGTTTGCTCGATTCACACCGCATTCTGCTCTGACACTTCGCCTAGAATTGCACGGTTGTTGTAGATCGTTGGCTGTAGGTGACGTCATCCTAAGGGTGGTTGAAAACTTCCAACACCCGCGATAACCTAGTCGCCCCCATCGCTTGCTTGTATTGGAAGCACGGACAGTTCATACGGTCTGGTGTCAAGGAGCCACGCACGCTTTCTTCGTCCAGGAGTGTGCTCTCGAACACGCATGCTTATCTTAAACCCTTAAAAATGGTATCGCGAAAGAGAGCCCCCCCAAGTAACGAGACCCAACCACCCAAGAGAGCTCGAACTCACAGCTCTGAAGCTACACAGAGATTGCCGCCTAGCCCGGCATGCCCAGGTGCAGTGAAGTCTCGCGATCGTGGCTCACTGTCCAAAATTCCGCCGGGGTCTGACATCTTCGAGGCCTTTGCTAAGGTCAGAGCTGACAAAGACCTCACAGATGAGGAGGCGTTTCTTGAGCTTCTGACAACTTATGATATTCCGCTATCCATTCTCTCACAGATCTCGACCAAGAAATTGGAGGCCTCCTTTTCCAATATAACATACAAGCAAATTGTGCCATACGTGTGGTTAGATCCTAATGGGGCAGGTCGAGATATATTACACCTAAATGTCTTTCGATCTCGGATTCCTACTGGCATGTTTCATGACATTGTACATGATGTTGAAGATGCTCTAACACAGTACGGTCCTATTGATTCTCATGATAATGAGGAAGCTAGATCCCGTTTCATTTCCTCCCTTTTCAACCGCATTGTTTGCCTATTCAAGAGTGTCATTGTGAACAAGCCAGAGACCCTGCTGGAAAGTAAGTTTACTAGGCGAGGCCGAATAGTGCACCACTTTATCGCACTTGACTCTGTGAGCATCGTTTTTTTCGAGGTAAAAAAAATCTGGACAATGGGAAAGAGCGGCCTTGATATAAAGGGCCAGGTTCTGGCTGAGTGCGCGGCGTGTGACTACGCAAACTTGAAGGAGGGGCACTGGGTTCCCATACTTGCCATTCTCTGTGATGGTAACAACTTCGAGTTCTTTGTATTCGACTCTTCAGACAAGATCATACACTCATCAGGCCGAATCATAGGTATTATAGTAGCTGAGCGAGGTGATCATGCTGATCTCCTTGCTTCCACCAAAAGAACTTGCGAGTATCTCTTTGACTGGTTCATCATGGGCTACATTAACAGCCTTCGATCATTTGGACAGCAGTCATCAAATCGATCACGTGTGAAGAAACGAGTGTCCACTGATCAATGGGAAAGTGCTCTTACCGCTGCTGATACTGCGCACTGGTTTCTAAGAGGGGCAGCTGAAGCCGCTGAAAATGGAAAACTTGAGGATGCTGAGATCATGGCAAGCTATGGTATAGAGAAGTTGAAGGTGAGTGTCTCACAGATCCCCCGCCAGCCACTGTATGAGAGGAATCTTGAATCTTTATGGGATGGCAGCAAGCCCCTGGAAGAGGCCTTAAGCGATCGAAAAATCTTCTAAACCAATATCCACACTTAGTGTCCCCTGTCTGTGTCTTCTATCCTCAGTCTGTAGACAAAACAGCAGAAAAGATATAGGATAGCACCACTATTCAAGCCTTAATTTCAAGGCAATAAGATTGATGTTACCGTCATATATTCCGTCCACGTCAATTCTCAAGAATGCTTGAGGAATAGAATGATAAAATCTAGCCTATCTTAAGCTATCACGATAGTTGAAAGTTCAAATGCACGTCGATAAGAATCTCCAAGCTATACCAAAATTTCTGGATATCAATAAGTCATCAAGCGTCCGTATGTCCTACTTCCGGGGTAACAGGTACCGTGTCTGCTGCGAGAGTCGTTAGTCAGATGCTCTCCACGTTCAGGCAAGTAAAATTCGGACTCATGATCGGGATTGGCGGCGGTGCCCAGAAGCATGCAGAATTATTTGCGACTCTTTATTAAGCCTCCCAGCATGCCCTGACCATCCATACAACTGGTAAATATCTATATGTCATTGTTGATGCGCTGGATGAATGTCAAGATGGTTGCTTTCTTGCATCATCCTTGATTACCGTACTAAATGCATCCAAGCGTGCGTTCAAATTACTGCTGACAAGTCGCGAAGAGCCTGACTTACTAGAGCTCTTTGATAGATATTGGACATCGTCTTCCAGGCTGCAAATTCAGGAGAGGAAGTATTTGACTCTGTCGGCCTCCCTCGAAAGCTCCGTTAGCCTTTGATTAGTATCCAAGAGAAGAGAAGATGGAGGTATTTGCAGCGAGAACAGCACACAGACCGCGGTCTAGGGATTAGCTATGTCCACCACACCGTGATGCAGCTTGTACGTCAGAGTGCCACGAGAGAGAAGAATGGTACGGCCATTGTGGTACAGGCGGCCACTAAAGGGTCCTGGCTGTCTATAGCTGATGCTGTAAGGCATGAAATGGCAACCTCCATGCCCTGTATCGCAGAAGTTAGAGATTGGCCGGAGCTGAAGTCGGCTTCCCTGATAGTGAGGTCTGGAAGCGGTCTCAACTTCGAGGAGATTCTCGAGGAGATTCTGCCGATGGCCGACAAGGCTGTGATACTGTATTTTACGCTGAGAAAGACTCTGAGAATTGGCATGTTGAGGATTCGTGTGGCACCTGCCAGTATGACTCGAGGCAATGGCATATTCCGTTGATCGTTGACTGCATTGACATTTCTTCCTCGGAAAATCTGGAAAAGCGTAGAAGTATGACTTTCGATATCGTAGAATGCTACTAACACTAGTTAAAGACTAAATCTTGAATAAATAGCTTGGGATAGGAGGGAAAATACCAACGACGGAGGCTCCGAGAGGAGGTCTCAGTGTACTGAGTAAAGACTGAGGAGAAGGGCTTAGTAGGTATTAATGCACACTTATGGCTTTTTGAACCTTCTACGAGTCAATTTTTGATCAGAGATGTTGTGAGCATTCATTGATCGCTCGCAAGTTTTGATCTATCGAAGTCAACTCCTATGCTACTTTCGATTAGATCTCCATGGAGCATTCGACGGGATGTATGAACTTAATTGAGTATTTGATTTACTGCAGCATGATGTGGCCAAAAAGCCAACAAAAAGTGAAACGTAGCATTCTCCTCTGCAGCACTAATACCAAAATAGTAATATGTATGAGGTGAGTGTGGACTAATGCCGGAATAACAAGGAAGAAACAGTACACGCGTCGCGTAAAAAAGTCTATCCCAGGCTTTGCGGGTCTTTTCTATTTTCGCTAGGAAGATCCAGTTGCTGAGCAATATATATAATTACACCGATTCAAAGTACGGTTCTTACCTCTTCAGCCAGGATTGGTCGAGGGAAGATCTTCGCATAGGAAGACACTGCGGGATGTCTGCCTCACACTTCAGCAGCCTTCCCGGTCCGATAAACCTATCTACGAGTAATTAGTACTATCAGAGGGCCAGGAATGGTGTGTACCGACTTTTCAGGTCTGTGTATGGACAGACTGATATAGTTCTCTATTGGAGGGAGACAGAGGGTGGGAAATGCCGCAGAGACTGGTGGGTGATGACGTGTAATATGAGGCCCCGGGTCGAAAACAAGAAATCACGTAGCTTTTGGTGTTTGTATAAATTTGGACATCCATTCCTAATAATTCCACGAAGTATTGAGTTTCCATGAGCTTCAAAATGTCTTCACCGACACTGGATCTGGTTGAGTTGGAATTGTTCAACCCTTCTGCAGACCTATTGACCGATGATGAAAGAATCCATATAAGCTATCAGCGAGCACGTGCAGTTGCGAGAGCATACGGTATGATTGACTCCGTACACCTGTCATACACAAAGTGCTAATAGCCCTCGATGAGATTTGAACATATCGGATGTGCTCCACTTGACACCAAAATTTTGGCAATTGCACCAGGACCTAATAGCCCCCGTTGATTATGCAGCTTTCAGCCTGCTGACGATCCAATTTAACCTCGCGGCTGGTACGCTTGCGCCGTTTGCCGTACATAACCCACACTACAAGTCTCTGTTGGATCGAATACTAAGGTTTGATGTCTCGTACGTCTGGAGCAGACACACCTAAAATGATCTCGTATCATTACCCACAGGGTTAATTTACTGGCTAGGGCACAGTACATGCTTACGGAGGTCGGACATGGATTAGATGCCCGAAACCTGGAGACATCAGCAACGCTACTCCCAAATGGCGAATTCGACCTCCACACGCCCAACTTAAATGCGGCGAAGTAAGACATTGTCTATTCACCCCCGGTCTTTGCAACTAACTGTCAAAGGATCATGCCACCAACGTGGCCGAGGAAGAGCTTCCCTCGAGTCGCGGTTGTGTTTGCCAGGCTTCTAGCTTCAGATGAAGACCGAGGGTTGCGGCCATTTATTGTCTGGCTCAATGATGGCGAACGCATGTGCGATGGGGTCATCGCCAAGTATGTTCAAAAGCTCCTGTTTATACTTTGAGAGGATTAAGCACGTTGTTCTAGAATGCTGCCCCCGCGAGCAGGAGCTAAACCTCTAGACCATTCAATCACCAGCTTTACCCACGTCCGGCTGCCATCCTCGGCACTCCTTGGATCAATAGAAAGACCGTCCAACGAACGCGAAAATTTTCTCTCAATAACGTGGCGCCTTGGTGTCGGTGCTCTTGCGCTCACCATGAGTACAATCCCAATGATGAAACGGTCCGTCTTCGTAGCTGGGAAATACAGCATCCATCGTCAAATTCTAGGACCAGAGACCAAACCAACTTCTATTATCTCACTCCGAACGCAGCAGCAGCCGATCCTACATGGTCTGGCCCAAATAGCCGTGTTTGAAGCCTATGCAGAGGAGAGTATTCTCTTATTCCAGGATCCCAATCTGCAACCAACTGTGCGACATGCGATTGGAGCTATTTTCAAGGCCGTCATGAGCCAAGCAGTCCATCCCACCTTGTACGCTCTTTCCGAGCGATGCGGCGCGCGGGGGCTATACGCCTACAACCACATCATTGAGTCGCAGTTAGACTGCCGCGTTTCTTCTATTGCTGAAGGAGATACTTTAGCTCTCAGTATTAGTAATATTTCCATGCTCGCAAATAACTTTTGCATGCTCACGCTGATGACCAGGACTCGCAACTGAGTTACTCCTCGATCGATACCAGCTACCGCCGGCTAGATACTCCACATGTATCTTAGCCCAACACGAAAAGGGTCTTATGGCGGAAAGTCGTGCGCTACTAAGGGGTATAGCGGGGGGCCACCGCAGTGATGAGTTTAACGCGTTGATCCTACCACGGTGCCAATCTATCGTGGAAGCCGTTGGCCATCGAATGGCCTATGAAGCCGCCGCCAAGGCGGGTGTTCCTTCTGACTTGTTATCCCTATACAAGATTGGCGTGATGCTGCATGATCCAAGCTGGTATGTCCAACATACTAATGCTACCCGAGAGAGCATGTTTGCAGAAGAGTCACGAGCACTGGATGCCGTTCTGCCCCGGTTGAATACTTTATTAGACCAGACTGGGGCGGAGCGCTACTGCACTTCACCAATTCTATCGCACGATTCTTGGGAGGCTTTTGTGGACCAGTTGGAGACCCATGGGGATGGCAAGTCAACCTGCATATCCAGGAGCAGTTCCAAGCTTTGAAGTAGAAGACTGACTTGATAGCTTCTTTGCTATCTCGGACCACATGGATTACCTTACGGTATAAGGATACATTCATATCGCCGCAGAATACTTGGGCTAATAGGTGCCGTGCTACTTAGGTATCGGATTTAACTAATGAGTATGCTTGCAATAAAATTGTCCTCTTAAAGGTTCTGTATTTCTCAATTCAGTCAGCTAATTTTGCAAGTGGAATGCCGTTGCCATCTCGGATGCAATATATATTCAAAATGTTTAACTATCATGCTATTACTTACGCGATACTATTGAGCATCTACACATTTAATTCACAAATGTCTTTCTGTTTTCTCTGTGTTCTCAGCCTTAGATATTCTAGAGTTAATGTGATCCACGATACAAGTTACCTGTGCTTGGAATAATTCACAACCTGTGATGTCCCGAACCATATATTCAAGTAGACCTTCACAAGAGGAGCAGTAGGAGTGAGGATGGAAGCACAAGAATCAAAAAAGAAAAAGAAAAACATATAACAGCATAAGTTATGGCGGTGGTCATCATGCGCTGCATGGGCGGTTTACTGTCCTATTCTGTCTTTCTTCCAGGACACTTCCGGCCACTATTCACCCGCCTGAATAGTAAATACCTAAGCTAGAAGAGAACGTAGTTGCGCAACATAAAAGAGAGTAAGCGTTCCCCTATAAGCCTAAATAGGATGGAAATTAACCTGTCTAATTCCCTTCCTAGCTAATCTACTGTCTGCCTTAGTAGAACGACTAAATACACCACAGTACACAGCGCTAGGCCTAGAAGCAAGCAGGCAGGCGCCTGAGGCCCGCCATGCACCGACACCCTATATTAACCCATTGCTCGCTAAGGCTTAGATAATATAACTAGCAGGGACAGGCGTGTCAATAATTAATTAGATAGACAATTTAGGTGAGCTATGATGATTCGAAAATAACTTGAGTCAACCCATTTCTTCTCTTTCACCTTCCTCGGGTATTGGTAAGCATAACAAAACTGGAGAATCGCTGCAGACCATAGCAGCTTTTGCTAACTATGTTGTTGCGCCTGTAGCAAAAGCTGTTATGTCTGTAGCAACTCCCCTTTGAAGCCTAGTACATATATGGGTCTGTTGGAAAGATGCTATCGAACTTTTAGACCGCTCTGGTCGGGGTATTCGAGATCAGGTATACAGACCCACCAAACAATATCCTTAACGTGTACAAATTGAAACAAGACAATTTAGCCCTAATACCTCCATGCGCTCCGACAAGTCGGACACGTAGATTTAGTGGAGGTCTTCAACCACAATTCAATGCAGCTCGTGTGGTAGTTGACTCCACATTGGGCTTTGCACCAGGATAATTCCTGCTGTTCTTCCTTGTCTTCTGTATCATGACGAGTACCATCCCCAGTTCCAGTGCGAGCCTTTTGCAAGGGATCAAAACAGATGCTACAGTCTCCTTCAATAGGTCGGCGAGTAGTATCACCAGAACACGAGGATGTCGTAGAGGACCGAGTGGTTCTTGAGCCACTACCAGGGAGGACAGGATTGGAGGTCGCGCGAATAGCCGCCGTTGGTATGTTCGACAGCCCACGGTTCGATGCCGCAGCAGAGGCAACCTGGGGGCCTGCTCGGGAGTAGGCTACTGCTCTTGTTCTAATCGTTATTTGCTGCGTTGGAAGTGCACTGCTCATAGAGAGCTCGCTCGGTCTATCTGCAGTTTGGGTCACGCGCTCATTGACGAGACGTTGTCGCGAAGCCGCTGGTGCCAATCGAGTAGTCCGTAGACGTTCAGGCTCCCCAATAAGGACTTGGAGCCATTTCTCCAGATAGAAACCTTCTACGTCTACACTTCGCCCAGATCTTTCCAGAGAGCTAATCCGTTGTCGCTCTCCGGCAGCTCGTTGGGAAGGCGCAGGAAGCATACAGGAGCCCAAGAATCGTTGAACCTGCCTCTTCCACTTTGCAGCAAGTTCCAAGGCCTGATCCTGGTGGAACCGTGTGCACAGAACGTAAGGAGCCAGGTCCTCGAGCAGGTTGTTGATGTCTCGTCCGGCATGGAGGCCTTTGGTCCCTTCGTCTAATAAGTACAAGGCGGTTTTCCGGTTCCGAGCATTTGTTGATGCGTGGCAGCGACGACCCCGTGATGGAGCGTAACCTGCACACCATGGTTCTTCCTCTGGGTAGAGTTTGACGATCTCGGAGAGGTGGGGAAGGGAGGTTGTTTGGGGTTGTGAGTACGGAGAAGGCATGGTAATAATTTATGAGCTGGTATTTTAGGAAACTGAGTGTTATCTAAGGCTTGGTACTTGTAGGATATCTCGCAGGAAAAGCCATACTCTCTATATACGCTGACATGACCCAAGAAGACCGGGGTATTTACTTGTCTGCCTAAGGCGCAAGAGTGATGTACGATAGCCCTGCCTCACATGTGTGGCTCAGCCCAGCACTAAGTCCTTGTTTTGTACGATATAAATCAAATGGAGACTAGGAGCCTTGACATCATACTGCAAGTTGGGCGTGGCAGTGCCACCGGGCTGTCTTATTGGGGTGTATAGACAGGGGTGCTGGATGCTGGCGGTTATACTGTAGCTCTCACTGGTTAACGTGCTTGAGGCGGAGTGATAAGATACAGTAGTCGCCCATCCAAGCCGACTCCTCCGTTACAAAAAAAACAAAAGACCTCCCTATTATTAAATCCTTCCAGGATAAGTTTAAGTCGTCCTCAGTTTTCGCACCCGGAATCAGGCATGACCGTGTGGCATGAGCGCGCGCGATGCCTGTACTGCTACTGATTATCTATAGGGCTGTCTTTATGAACTTTAATCTTTGGATATATGAAATCTTGACCGGAATTTGGATTTGTTTTAACCATTTTCTATAGGGGGCGATGATTCATTTGCAAGTGTATCCGAGTCGACTGGAGAGTATAGGTAGGGAGGGAGCAGTTTACAAATCAATTGAAGGTAGGATCTAGCAATATCTTATGGGACTATTGGATGGGTATATATGTTAATCTGGATGTCTATAAATAGCTGAAGCTGCGTCAAACAACACAACGGTTATGTATGTTTAACCATTCGCTTAATTGATCACAAATGGTGCCATATTTATGTGGCCAATTGTAATCCTATGTGAGGGGCGGCGCATGGGCAGGTGGGGAAATTGGTGGATTTTAGACAACCATAAGAAATTATATGGGTAGAGCGCTGTTGAGTAACGGAAGACCTTGAAGCTACTGCAAAAGCGCGCAGAATCGAGCGTAAAAATAAAAGACATACAACAGCCGGGATTCGCTGGTGGTCACCCACCCAACTACTAACCGGCCGGCGTGTGGCTTAAGTACGGCTGAGCGGACGGGAAGCCCTGTTTTCCACACCCTGTGGTCGTATGTATTTGGATTGTGGATGCGAAGATATGTATAGGACTTCCCTCTTCCTCACCCAGCTAGAAAAAAGCTTCTTTAAGCATCCCGACAATTAGAGCCGGTATATGGCTAATATCCAGCCAGTAGAGTATAATATCATAACTTTCAAAACCAAAAAAGAAACATACAACAGCTGGGATTCGCTGGTGGTCACCCACCCAACTACTAACCGGCCGGCGTGTGGCTTGAGTACGGCTGAGCGGACGGGAAGCCCTATTTTCCACACCCTGTGGTCGTATGTGGCGGATGTTTTCAAGGCTAGATTTATATAGTAACATACACACCACCGAGTGATCCACTTCCGCTCCGATTTCTACCACTGAGTCAAATTCTAGGGCCTTTATCAACAAAATAATTGTATTTCTATATAAAATCTAATTAGGAACTCAATTAGGACGTTGTCTGCAAGTATATTCTAGAATATGGCAGTCACTACAGCACGGTGGCGCTTGTACGCATGATTTCACTGCAGACAGTGCTAGATCTATAGGTGAAGTATCTTGAACTTTATAGACCTTATTCTTGCGCTAGAATTGCTCTAGACCTACCTGAATAGTAAAACCCTCTATAGTAGCTAGATGTTTATTGGAGAGCTTCTGCTTTTGAAGCTGCTATTTATTAGAGACATATAAAGTATATATTTCTTTACGTGCAAGAATTGCTTCATTTAAAGCCAGTTCATGCCCTTTAATAATCTTGTCTAATCGCATTTCTATTGAAGATGGTGGGCTCTGCATATACACTTAAAGAAACTTTTTTACAGTACATGCTTACTCTTCCAGCTGTCTAGCAGTGCGTGCGGTGTTGTCGCCGGAGCACATATACATCAAGTAGTTCCGGAGATTAGAACACCGCTTCACAAGCGAGAAATGGGGGCTTTATCCCACAAGTCCAGACCTCACTCCCAAAACCCCCCCGCGAGAGTCCCACCACGTCCTTTTTTTGCATAATTCATCATAAAAAAGGTAACTGGCTACTAGTTAGACCAAAACTCCATAGGTTACACTCCCGTAGGCCCCGCCAAGATACCCACGGATTTTGTCAAGGTCTACCCAAGACCTCCGTTCGGAATAGTTACTAGAAAAGGATGAATTGGAAGGTGAATACTCAGCAGTACTCTTCTTGTATAAAGAGCAGTATCTCAGTGTACACTATAAGCTACTTCGGTCAACGTCAAAGCTCCAAACTTGACCATTGCGGAATCCAATAGCCAGTTTATCCCCTCGTGTATCATGACATTCTGACTGGAAATCTGGCGATAGACGAAGGAGGGGCGTAACTCCATAGTATATCCATTGATATCGGACATAAAGATCTTTTAACGAGTCGAAGTTGGTGACTTGTCTGTCTGGTGACTGTCTGTTTCACATCACACTAAGGAAAATAGGCTTTATAAAGTGGATCCCTATTTGCCGAGAGTAAGGATCTATAAAACAGGCTAAAGATCATTAATAAGGACATGCGCAGCACTGTATAATATAGCAAAAGTATTCTGTTATTGGGATCTTGTTGCCAAGTATATGTTAATGGAGCCGGGAATACACAATCAGCTAGCAGTAAATTTCGCCATTTCTCCAGATTATAATAAATCAAAATATTCATGCTCAGGTTGGTTAAATAGTGATTGGGAGAGTACAGCATGACACTTAACTCAGGAGATTTAGAAATACTGAACACTATATAATTTTGAGTGAGAATTCATACAATCAAAAGACCAAGCTTGATTTTTTAAATATACAAGCGAGCTAAGGTTTGTCTGATTACTGTGTTATTAAGAATTACAGAATCGCGTAGCAAAGCGATCTCGGTATCAATTAGTTAAGTCTCTAAATCCTCCAGCGTGAGCAATGGTATATTGATATCCTCCTCCTTGAGATGCAACAGTTTACGTGTGGTAATGGTAATGATATAGTTTTGTAGTATACATAATCACCAGAGGCGATGTAAAAGTCTCCATGATTTTGGTAGACTTCTCATACTCTTGTGATTTCTTTCAAGATCTATTCTATTTGCTAGTAGCTGACATACTCCTAGCTAATACCATGAGTCTTTCTGGTCTTCTGGTAACTCAAACTAGTAGGTTATGAGTAGGAGTGCTTGTATGACTGGGATGGAATCCAGTTCCCAGTCAAGTTCATAGAGATACTGTCTTCTGTCAGCTGACATCTTGTAAAACTGCTAAGGGCTGGTAACTGCTTACTTTAACCTTAACATAAAACACTTTCCCAGCATCCCTTCTTGTCTGATATCCTGTTCTTTCAAGCAATGGCATTTCCACAAACGCGTAGCCAGCAAAAAGGATTGCTTGCAGCAGAATGAGACTGACTGGTTTGGAAGTCTGAGTCTGGCGAATGGAGTCGAAGAACTCCTGTAGATTGAGAACGGGCATGTATGGGTGGACGTGAATGCGATGCGGACATCTTTTGGCATGGCTGTTAGAGCTACACCTTTTGGTGTTCCTCCCGACGTCCCTACCAGCAACAACTCCGGAGACAGGCTGGTGTCCTCCCGGCATTTCTGCCAGTATGACTCTTGAGCTGCAGTCTGGTGTACTCCAAATGTTCCTGGTGGTATGGCTGTTGGAGCGCTTGCTCTGGTCCCATAAACCTGCGATGAAGACCCGAAGACAAAGATGGTTATGAAGGTAGTGGCGACGATGACAGGTTCAAACTTTCCGAGGAAAAGAGTTCATCTTTCACTCGTTCTGCTGTCCTTTTGATCTAAAAGATCCTCTCGTGTGGCTCATGAGCTTGAATCAAGGGCCGGTATGATTAAATGCTTGGGAAACCGGGGCCTCTTGTGCAAATACACAACAAAACGGCATTTTGGGCATTTGCCCATCCATCAACAGACCAAGTTGCGCCCGTAACGAAACTAGCCTCATCACTCAAAAGAAAAGTGACGACGTTCGCAGTCTCTGATGCCACTCCAAGTCGGCCCAGCGGTACAGCTGGTGCCGTTCCTTCAGCACCACTTTCTTCGTTTGCACGTAGCATGAGAGTGTCGATGGGTCCACTATTTAACCACATCAGTTTTGTTGCGCAGACTCGAACCAGTTGGAATTCACGGCATCAAAATGTTAAATCGGATTCCCCTTTTAGCTGCCTCAAGCGCAGCACTCTTGACCATACCCACCCCCGCGTATATACTGGTGCTAAACACAGAGCCTTTCGAAAAGCCACGTTCGGCGACCATACTCGCTGCATGGACAATGCTCCCTGACTCCTGCAGAAATCCTGGCTTAAGTCCTCGCTAAGGACGTTGAAGACGCCTTTAACATTGACGCCCATCATGAAATCCTGCTCTTTCTCATCCATCTCCCAAACTTCCTGGTGTCCAAGTTTGTGACCCGCAGTTCCAGCAGAATTCGCAATCCCATCGATTTTACCAAAGTGCGCTTTCGTCAAGTGCAGGAAAGATGCAACGGCTGAACGATTCGTGATACCAACAGCGCGCGTAATCACCCTGGCCTTTTCTTCTTCACTGAGCTCGTCGACGAGGTTTGACAGTCCGTCCCGGTTCATGTCACATAATCCCAAGAGTGCGCCACGGGCTAGCAATGGGGGTTGCGGTAGCCAACCCCATTCTGGACGCGGTGCCAGTAATAACGAAAGCTTTGCCAGTAACGGACGGCGCCATTCTTTTTGCGATGCGAGGCGATGCTTATTAACCGACCATGAGAATAATATTTTTATTCCGGCCGATACGTTTCAAAATTGCTAGCCGATGTATGTATATGATAGCGTGAAGTGAAGGCTCTGCCCAATCCGGCGGCGCTGATGTACAATATCAATCAGGCCAAACACTCTCGCTGTTTCAGTGGTTCCTGCCAGTGAAGCTTGTATTTCCCGCCAGCCACGACCAAATCAATGATCGAAGTTGGTAATACTGGAAGGGAACCATTAAGCTCCCTATCTTCAAGGCAAAACCTGATCCAGGCTATAGCCTGTGACAGCGAAGACTAGATGGGGCCGACCACGGAGACCTGTAACCTGCAACCTGGGGTTCTTGGCAGGCGGTCAGTTTAGTAAGCGGCACTCGGAACCCATGGCAGCTTCGTGCACAACCCAATTCTGGTAGATAGACCCCACACTTAGGAGCTGGGCGGAACTGACCTTTCAAAAGCAGTCTGGAGTCAGGAGCCAGAACCCAGACCATAGTGGCTGTCTGCCACGCTACTATGTTTACTCTGCCTATACCCAGAAGCAAACAAGACTCGCTGAAAGAAGGACGGGAGCGTCTTCCTGGTTCAACTCCAGTCCGCACCTGGAACTGACGTAGCATGACCACAAGCAAAAAGAACTGAACCATGTACCTAAATCTCCAAGCAGCGAAATTCTCATTAAGCAGGTGGGTCATGCACTAGTCATTTCCATAGCGGCTCGTTGACCGGAACATCTAAACTGGACCTAAAGTCCGCCTCGGACATATAAGAGAGCAGGGCCCTGGGATCCAGACGTCCAGAGACGGTCGTCCCAGAGAACTTCTCAGCACGCAGCCTGACAGCCAAAGTTTCATTGTTTGAGTATGAAGTTCGCCCTACGCGATTTCCGGTGCCTGTGGCTTTCCTGCCTCTTTTGGACCTCCTGTTTGGCGTTCATTTTCGACGGTCCGGAGCTGGAGTTTGACGGCGTTCGATACAGTCCATCCCAGTACAATGTACGTGGTTTTCCAGTGGTTCTCGCTTCAGCGAATACAGTGCAACCCTTTCAAATCAACTGGAGGCATATCCGAAGTCCTAACACAGACTGGGACATAGGAAACCGGTGACTATTATCTCTATTCCAACATTCGTTATGCTGCACCTCCCGTCCGTGACCTTCGTTGGGCAAAGCCTCAGCCTCCTCGAGCCTTGATCCGTCCGTCGACCCAAATGCAAACGTGACATGCACACAGGTAACACCAAACTGGTGGAACATCACTGGCTTTCCCGGCGGATTTACCGGGGGAGTAGAAGATTGTCTCTTCCTCGACGTTTATGTGCCAAGAAACCAGACAAACTACGGGGAAACGCCTATTATGCTCTGGTAAGCTTATTTACATTCATGCTTCTTGGCAGACCATGTTCATGTGGTCAGGATTCATGGAGGCGGGTTTATCACGGGCTCAAAGACCGCCTCTGGCGACCCATCCGGCCTGCTGTGGGCAGCAGATGAGCCCATCATTTATGTGGCAATTAATTACCGGGTATGTCATTCCCCGGCTTTAGCAATGCATGAGGTAGACCTAACTTGATTTATTTTCATTAGCTTGGAGGTCTTGGTTTTCTAGCTGGCCAAGAAGTCGCGACTGCTGGTGTTGCTAATGCTGGACTGCATGATCAACGAGCGGCTTTTCGCTGGGCACAAGACCATATTGCTGCATTTGGAGGCAATCCAGCTGATATCACTGTCTTTGGTGAATCAGCAGGTGCAGCGTCAATTATGTATCATCTTACTGGATATGGTGGCAAGGACTGCCCCCCCTTCCGCCGGGCAATACTGCAGAGCAATGGATTCTGCCCTTGGAGAGGCCATGCGAATAACGAAGCCAGGTAATTATTATGCAGACTTGTTCTTTCAAGCTCCCTTGTCTTGCTCCCTAGCTGTTTCCATTTACTAAACTTCTATGAAACAGGTTCTTGGCATTCGCCAATGCTGCTGGGTGTTCTGATCTCGAGTGCCTTAGAAACGCATCAACCGAGGCGGTGATACAAGCAAATATTAATCTCCTGGTCAATTCGACCGAGATGTATCAGCCACAAATTGATGGAAATCTGGTTCCGGACTATCCTGGTTGGCTATTAAGCACTGGAAAGTTCTGCAGTGACGTGGAGATCATGGTTGGCAATAATGATGATGAGGTAGGGCAGTGTTACCTTGCTATATGCATGGCGCGCATTTCTCTAACAAGCAGTCATGATATAGGGTGGCTGGATGCTCAACAATCCTGCTGTTCACGAGGTGGCTTACTCGAATGACACATCGAAAGCCAACATTGAAAAAGGCTTCACATTTGGCTTGGGCACTCCTCTTACCACAGGTGTAATGGAACGATTGCTGGAGCTGTACCCAGCACCTTCCAACAGGACCACTTATAGTGACATGCTTGGGCTGATGACACTCTTCCAATCTGAGCAGAACTTCCTCAGCTCGACCTTTGCTATTGTCAATGCGTGGAAAAAGCACGTCTTTGCCTACAAGTTCTCTGTCGGTTATGCGATCCACGCCATGGATGTACCATACACATACTACGACGGACCAACTGCTGAAGTGAAAAACGCAACTGCAGCTATTGCTTTGCAGAAATACCTCACGCGGTTTGCCATAACCGGTGATCCTAACCAGAAACCAGCTAAGACAGATACTCTTCCTTTATTCCTTCGAATGGATACTAGTATGACCAAGCCTGTATTCAAGATTGATGACAGTTCTTACGAGTACGTCAGCGATGACTACTTCATGAACGAGCGAACAGAATTCTTGGCAGTGAGTGGTTTCCTCCATCATAGCCAGTGTCAGAGACCTAACTTTGTTTTATTTAGAGCGGACTGTGGATTTAATGAGCGAGAAGCAACAGATGATTCACACGAGAGATGGAGGGGATGAAGCCCTTCTTGCAACGAGAATTGTGTAGACTGTTAAACCCGCCCCAACCCGCTCAAACCGCCAAGGATTGGGTGGGTTGGACCTTTAATTAACCATTGGATTCTCGATATTATTGGTTGACCCATAGCACGGCGGAGCAACCCCCTAAATTGCCAAGATATTTTGTGTGGTGAATTACTGTATTTAGGTCACATCACATACTACGTAGTACACTACGTATTTCACATGATATCATATTCCACTAGAGATCTGTGGAAAGGGACGGACAACTGTCATTATTGGATGGCCGACATGGCCGACATGGCCGCCTATCTATATCTAGCTTACTAAATAATGACTAAGCAAGCTCGACCTCAGGGGCAGGCGGTACCAGAGGGCAGTATGCCCCGACAAGATTTCAGTTTCAAGTATGGGACTGACCGGGAAATAACCGGGCCGGTCCACTTCAATATCTGGCAGCCACTGCAGCAGTTGAAGTCCAGGGGAGCACTTTCGGTCAAACCGGGCACGACAAAGACAAGACCAATGCATTAAGATGTGGAGATCCCTGTCTGTGGAGCGAAAAGAAAAAAGGAAAGGCTATTGATCTCCGTCTCAAATATCGCTCGGAACCAGCGGCAGCAAAGCATTCCCAGACCAGATCCATAGTTCCCATGCCGGTACAATTGAAGAATACATTCTCTTTCACTGCGGCCTCCAAGCCTGCAATGTACTCTGGTTCAATATCCCCCAGACTTCAATCATCTCGCTCCTTTGCACGCTGGCCCTCACTGATCCCCCCGCCTTCCTTCACATACGCTTTCTTTCCGTCCATGTACAATCTTCAACCTGGTAGAAGAGGGCAAGCGTCGACTTCTTGCATCTGTGGTTTGTAGGAGCCGATGAGAGAGACGAATCATTGGCGGCTCGTGTTTCACTCCATATACGAGATGGGAACTATGGTAACGTGGAAGCAGTGTATGGAATGGTGACATGGCTGAAGCTGATGGTACGCTTCAATTCTTTCGGGTAGAATGCCTTGTCCTCCTGCATCGGTGGCATGACTGGCACATTCGCACTGCTGGTAGGTACTTAAACCGTACCGTACAGTGATTTACCTACTGCATCTCAGGTGCGGGTTCAGCTGCAAGGTTATTCGCCCTGTATCCGGAAAAGAGCCGGGCGGTGTAGTTAGGTAGATACTGTTGCTTGACTGCTGATTATAAGCTTGGAATCCCCTTTTCGTATGAGCATGAGTAGGCTTACATCGGCCATTATTATACTGACGGCATTGAACTCCATGGACATGGATATCGGCCTCATGTCCGCATTAGTTCTTGCTGAGGCAGGTTATAGTGTAACAGTCCTGGCTCGTGAATTTCCAGGGAACAACTCGAAGAAATGGGCAAGCCCTTGGTATATCTGGCACCTTAGCCATCATTCTTAATAATATTTCGAATTGCGATAGCTGACCAGTGGCTTCTAGGGCGGGCGCAGGGATTTTGCCTCACCCTGACAGCAGAGGCCATAATCTGCAGGCCGCAACATTTGTCTATTTCTGGTCTTTGGCACATAGTGATCCAAGCAGTGGTGTTCAGGTGCGTGCGACCTTAACTTGCTTCAGTCTTCCAGGAAAACGGATCATAGCTGACTTCCAGAAACCTAGGTGGTTGATGTGACTGAATACTATGATGATCGGAGTGATGATTCAACAATCTGGTATAAACAGGTCGTGCCCAAGTACCGTCGTCTAAGCTCTGAGGATCTTCCCTCTGGCGCTAGAATGGGGTTTTCGTATTAGTCGATGACAGTGAACCCAGAGGCCTTCTTGCCGTGGATCAAGAAACTTCTAGACAAGTAGGGGACCCGTTTCGTGGAGAAGAACGTAAGACCCATCGATGAGGCCAGTTTGGTTCTGAAGACCTCCCTCATGGTCAACTGCTCTGGACTTGGAGCCTTCGATATTGCCGCTGACGGAAATGTTCGCCCTGTGCGAGGGCAGATCATGCTGGTCAAGGGGGAATCAAATGAAATGGTCTTGTTCCAGGGCTCCCACTATACCTACCAGATTCCACGAATGTTTAGTGGTGGCACTATCATCGGTGGAATAGCACAAGAAGGCAATATGGACGAGGCAGTCGATCTTGAGCTAAGGAATGACATCCTACAGCGTATCAATCTCGTTACAAAAGAACGGTACAAGGATTTTGATTTGAACAAGGACGTGATCGAGGACATTGTAGGATTCTGGCCTGGCAGGAAAGGGGGTTACTGTTTGGAAAAGGAGAATGGGGTAATCCACGCCTATGGGTTTGGCTCACTGGGCTATACTTACTGTTGCGGTGTGGCATCACAGGTTCTGGAGCTCGTCAAGGCTACCAAGAAGTGGCCACTAAGCCAGCTTTGATTTAAACTCACACGGGTGACATAACTACTGCGTGTTAGGGATTTTATCCACCCGCCTTGCCTAGTTTGAGAAAAAAATAAAAGAGACTTCTCCATACAGGAATCTGCCCTTTCATTGCCGCTCCTCAGTATACTGGCCATCTGGAAAACCATTCTTTCATGAAAGCAATATTCCTCTCGTCCGCGACAGCTTCAGGACCCCATCCGTCACCCACTCGCATCACAGTTTGATTTTTCTCTGAATTTACTGGCCACTGCGGAAGTCCAACGTTGTTTGGATTTCCCTCACGGATGAAGTTGACCCAATAGTCAGACAGCCTCTCGGCGATACTGAAATCTTCATCTGTCCACGGCAAATCCGTTCCATACAGGTTATTGAACGCGTACGGTATCTCGCTCGAATGCTAAGCACCTCGACTCTGCCCAGGGGGCGCATGAGTCCATGTATAGACAAATACATCACATGGGGTGTTGGTAGAAGAGTTTCTGGCGCAGCCTGCTGAGTAGGCGTTTGCCCAGAGGTGCGTACCCACACGCCGTTGATCATTACAGAAAGCGTTACTAGCCTCATCGGCGGACAGGGCAGAATCACCCGCGGGGTATAACTCGGCGAATTTAGCGCTGAGATTGACGCTGCGGAAGATCTTGGAATTCACAGAGGTGTAGTTGAGAACCGAAAATCCTGGACTTGGCACAGCACCATCTTCGTCCCTGTTATTTCCGGTCAAGATGGGAACAAGTGAGTGATTGCCCTCGCGCAACTGAGTTAAATATCTTTTTCACTGCAGACAGTGCTAGATCTATAGGTGTAGTATCTTGAACTTTATAAACCTTATTCTTGCGCTAGAATTGCTCTAGACCTACCTGAATAGTAAAACCCTCTATAGTAGCTAGATGTTTATTGGAGAGCTTCTGCTTTTGAAGCTGCCATTCATTAGAAGCATATAAAGTGTGTATTTCTTCACGCGCAAGAACTGCTTCATTTAAAGCCAGTTCATGCCCTTTAATAATCTTGTCTAATCACATTTCTATTGAAGATGGTGGGCTCTGCATGCATGCTTGAAGGAGCCTTTTCACAGTAGATGCTTGCTTTTCCAGCTGCCTAGCTATATAGAGTGTTTTAGGCACTGAATTAGTTAATTGACTGCCTGGGGGTATAAGGGTTTTTAGTTAAATATTCGACTCTCTAAACACCCTGTCTGGATCTAATGGAATTAGACTAGCATCTACAAAGCTAATGTAATAGTTTCTGCTTTAAAAGCAATTGCGTGAGCTGGGGGAAAGGCCTTAAGTCAGGCGTATTAATATAATTAAGGCCTTGTAGCAGGCAGAAGCCCGTTAGAATACTCAGGCCGTTGGCCCTCGTTTCCGTATTCGTCACATGGTGTATTTCGGCCCCTTCTTCTTGTCATGCCTTACTGTCTCACCGTTGGTTGACTCTTCTCCTCTTTTCTTTCTTCTTCTTTAGCGTTTTCTTCTTGTTTGATAGCTATGATAGTTTATCGAATGTTGCGGGTCTTAATCCCTTACAGGCCTGCCTACATCTTCTCTACTATTAAGTCTTCATAAGAATCTTTTAGAGGCTTAAAAACAGCCTATATCTAAAGGCTGCAGTTTATAAGAAGAATGTGCAGGCATATAGATAGAAATAATATTATTCTCACTACATGTCTGATCTATTAAGATGTGAGATAGCTGCCATGGCCATCAAGAATAAGTAGACAGTATTTCCCAGACGTACGGCTAATAGTAGCCGGAATAAAGATATTCTTAAGCCAGTGAAGGGCTATTTCATCAGTAGTCTATCTATTAGAACTAATTTCCATTCTCCAATCACGGGATATCTTTTAATCTTGATACCAGCCCTTTTTCACTTTGTTCCTCGTTCGGTTCAGGGCATTGCTAAGATACGCTAGTTCATATTGGGAATTCCGAATTATCCATGTCTGTTGGATCTGTATCGTTTCTTGTCGTTTCGTACATAAATTACGGAGAGCAAGATGCATGCCCCGCCTCCATACCCCGCCCTTGATAATCAATCACGTATATACGCTGTCATGACTTATGCCTCCTATACGGACCCGATTCCGAGACATATACAACATGATGATAGCAAGACTCAGAAATATTTTGCGCGGATCTACCTTTTTGACGTAGTGGTAGGTTCTAGAGCATTCGTCATGACATAATATCTTCAATAAAGTAATTCTTTATACTATTCCAGCAGTTTCACAAGCACTTTTTAAGCGCTTCTTGCTGATTCACTCATTACAGAATCAGGCCTTTGATGATTACTTCAAGAGTATTGAGCTCATAATCGGCATTTTGACAGAAAAAATATGTCACTGCCGTTGAATTGTCTTGGGCAAGTAAAAGCCTCTCAATAATACCGATAGATATCATAGTCTTTCCTTTGCTAGTGCCACCCTTGATCCAAAGGAGACAAAGTTTATCACCATCTTGCCAACTCTTATATTTCAGATGTTAAAGGATCTATTTAATTAATTGGGGAAGTAACTTGTCCTTATTCTTTTTTAGCCGATGTTTAATAACTAGGGAGTCGGGGCATTGCAGAGTGCGGAGGCAGAGGCGATTGATATCTTCAGTAGTGTATGCTATAAAGGCCGTTAGTCTTAGGAAATCTATATTAGTTAATATAGAGTTTACCTGGGGTAAAATTAATATTATTGACTTGGGTAGCCCCTTGCTGGGCAATGTTGCCCTTTATATCAATGTGGCTTTCCGTTATCATAACTTTTCTATATAATTAGAATACATGACATCACGCAGAGTTGAAGAACGCAATAGCTCACTATAGACATTCTGTTTCGATATCCTGTATCCTGATACCGGCAAAACTGTTCAAGGTCGTTTGAACTGGGAAGAAGAAGTGTTAAGGTTCAGGCTGGAAGTGAGAAGCTGTTGTGGAGGTCCTACAAGCGCCGCGGCTGAGCCAGAAATGGCGACCAATGATAGCATGACACAATGCTTCCTTTTTGACAGGGTTATCCGTGATGCGGAGCACGAGCATGGGCTATGTTGCCGTCGCAAAAAGCATTTTCCGGTTAAAGGGAATGGCTGAGACCGGAAAATCCATAATGTCTCGGGCTGTAGCAAGTTCGCTTAAGGATACTAACCATCTAGGTGCCAGCTTCTTTAAGAGAGGCGAATGGGACCGAGGAAACGCGAAAAGGGTCTTTCCCGACAATAACAACACAACTGATGCTCAGGCGTTCTAAGCTGCGGCCTGGCGTGTAAAAGGCACACGATTATGACCCTAAAATTGCGTCAAAATCGCCCAGGGAGCAGTTAAAGAAACTACTCCTTCAAATCCTGCTCAATCTTGGCCAACTCAGCCGAAAACCTCAAACAGCTGTGAGAGTGATCGACGCTCTAGACGAATGTGAACATGATCAAAATGTCTGAAACATAATCTGATTACTGCCTCTACGGAAGACAAAAGCGGTTCCCTTCAGATCTTCTAGCAGACCTGAAGTCCCAATCGGCCTCGGCTTTTCAGGGATCACGGATCATGAATATCAGGACCTAGCTCTTCATGAAATACCCGAGGAAGTGACAGAACATGACGTATATATATTCCTACAGGACCGATCTGCGAGTATCAAAAACGACAGAAATATTTCGCAAGACTGGCCCGGCGATGATATTATCTAAAATTTGGTCATCATGTCCGTTCCACTATTTATCTCGGCTGACACTGTGTGTCGTTACATCAAAGACTCGCAGTATTCTTGACCCCACAAAAGTTCCGAGGAAGCAAAGCATTGAGTTCTGAATAAATATGAGTGGTAAACGTCTAGCTGTGCTCTTAATATATATTTCTATTGCCTTCAATTGGATTAAATATAGGCCCATGACTAGGCGGCTATGCATTGAGTGCACAGCCTTGCAGGAGCACGTACCTGTTACCCCTCCTCCCTCAGCCTCATGAGCTATGCTTATATTCTCTTTTCATCGATATGGTCTTCTTTGATTAAACTTGAAACTCTAGAGCTTTTTAACTTACCTCATTTGATCTGATTCCTCACTCGAGCCCACCATGAACTCTTTTACGCACGACGACTACACAATTGCGTGGATATGCGCCTTGTCGCTGGAGGTGGCGGCGGCCCGTGTTATGCTGGACAAAGTCCACAACCCTCTGCCTAAGACCTCCGCCGATCCGAATGCCTACGAAGTTGGCGAATTGAACGGCCACTGTATTGTCATTGCCTGCCTACCAGCTGGTGTATACGGAACAGTTTCTGCCGCGACTGTAGTGTCTCGCATGTGTCTAACGTTTCCCCGGCTTCAATATGGACTGATGGTGGGAATTGGAGGCGGGGTCCCAGGCAACAACAATGACATTCGACTAGGCGATGTGGTGGTCAGCAAGCCAGTTGGAAAGTATAGTGGGGTGATACAGTATGATTATGGCAAGGCAGTTCAAGGTGGGCAATTCGAGTCAACAGGCACCTTGAATAAACCACCACAGGCCTTTTTAACCCATATGGGTCAGCTTGAGGCAAAAACAATGACTGAGGGCAAGCATACTCTTTCCAAAATAGTGTCAGAAGCCCTGGAAGAGAATCCTGGCATGAGAGAAAGATTTTCGCCCCCAGAACAGCATATGGACTTCTTGTTTCATTCCTCTTATCATCATGCCACCAAGGAAGATACCTGTGGAAAATGTGATAAGGAACAATTAATCAAGCGACAACCACGTGACACCAGGACGCCTTATATCCATTACGGGCTGATTGCATCTGGGGATCAGGTGATAAAGGACTCAGAAACACGAGACCGTCTAGCTCAACAGTATGGGATACTATGCTTTGAGATGGAGGCAGCAGGCTTTATGGATGAACTTCCTACTCTTGTAATCCGGGGGGTATGCGACTATTGTGATTCCCATAAGCAGAAAGAGTGGCAGGGATATGCAGCTTTGACAGCAGCTGCCTATACAAAACTTTTATTATCAGTTATACCTGTTTGCCGAACAGAGTGCGGCTCGCTAAAGCGCAATAGCATGCAGCACTGGATGGTCTCACTAGAAAAAAATCCAAGATTTGTTGGTCGTGAGGATGAGATTTTGAAGTTAGAAGAATTTCTTACAATGCAAGATGGGCCCAGGAGGATTGCGATCACCGGGTTAGGGGGGGTTGGAAAGACACAAGTAGCCCTAGAGGTAGTATACCGCATACGGAGCCAAGATAAGGAGTGCTCTATTTTCTGGGTTCCCTGTACCAGCTATTCAATGATTGAGCAGGCGTTCCTGAATATTGCGCAGAAACTCGGAATCCATAACATAAAGCCAGCAGAGGTGAAAGAACAGATTAAGTTATATCTCAGCTCCAAGCGTGCCGGGAAATGGCTGCTGATTTTTGATAACGCGGACGATACAGAGATGTGGTTAACAACTAATAATACTGCTCCCGCCCTTGAGGACTTTCTCCCTCAGAGTGAACAGGGCCATATTATATTCACTACCCGTAATGGGGAGCTTGCAGTGGAGCTCACATCTTCTAATATCATTTCTATTCCAGATGTGGATAAAGAAACTGCATGGAATATCCTAGAGAGTTTATTATTGAACAAAGCGTTGCTCAAGGACCATATCATAACAGCCACCCTCCTGGAGCAACTGGCATTCCTTCCACTGGCAATCGCACAGGCATCCGCATACATTAACAAAAAGCGGTTAAGTCTGTCTGCATACTCCACACTTTTACAAGAGGAAGAACAAGAGGCTGTGGAACTGCTCAGCGAAGACTTTCGGGATCCAGGACGCTATAAAGATATCCAGAACCCTGTGATCACCACCTGGTTAATATCCTTCAAGCAGATTCAGCGTCAAAGTCAAGCAGCAGCAGACTATCTATCTTTTATAGGCTGTATCAATCCGCGAAATATTCCACAGTCTCTTCTTCCTCTCCAATCAACAAAGAAACAGAGACTTGATGCTTTGGGGCTTCTGAATGCCTACTCATTTACTAGCAGCCAAGGCACGGATATAAGTATGCACAGACTGGTGCATATAGCGACTCGGAACTGGCTTAGAAAGCAAAGGGTGTTTTCTCACTGGGTCCATAGAGTGGCTGGACAAATGGACATAGTTTTTCCAGATAACCACCACAATAATAGAGGACTTTGGCGAGAATACCTCCCTCATGCTTTGGCACTTGCGTATGAAAATGAATTCATTATACAACAGGAACAATATCTTCATTTAATTGAGAAGATTGCAGATTGCCTTGGTAGCGATGGAAGATACCACGAAGCAGAGGTACTATACAACAGGCTGATAAGTATCAATCAGGAGAAAAATGGTCAAGAGCATCCCTCCACTCTGATCAGCATGGCGGACCTGGCATCGACCTACCGGAATCAGGGACGATGGAATGAAGCCGAGAAGCTGCAGGCGCAAGTGATGGAAACGTCCAAGATAGTGCTAGGAGCCGAGCATCCTGACACTCT